CCCTCTCCCCCCCCCCCCCCCCCCCCCCTTCCCCCACCCCCTCTTGACTTACCTTTTTCTCTCCTGCTCGCAAGCCTACAGTGACAGCATCGCATCATTTCCCATTCGGTCCAGGAAGGAATCAATTGATTGCTCTCTCCTCTCACCGTTCTGACCCTTTACATCTCGCAGCCACGCTGTCGTGCCGACCAACACCACCACCACCGCCACCGACGTCCTTCTCGAGATTGATAGCAAACCCACACTCAGGCGCCGTCCATACCTAACACCCAGTCTATATATACGAGGCCTCTTATCCGACCCGATCTCGTGTGTTCCCGCACCACCGTCCTTGACATCTTGTCGGATCCGCCATCTTGAGTGTCCGCCATCTCGCACACGGCCACCCTCGCAGACCTATCGATTGAACACGACCACGCCGAGACGCGTGTCCGGATGTCTTGGCCTTAGAAGACTCTCCTATCCCGTCTCCCCTCCGTCCTTCTTCTTGACAACGAGACGCCTTCGCGAAGAGGAGGGAGAAGTATCCTCTGACCTGACCCGCGGGTCATTCTCCCGCATACGTACGGCACTCCGCACGCATCCACGATCGACCATGTCGTTCCCCGTTGCCGTCCAGTCGGCCATTTTCTACGTCGTGGCCTGCACGCCATGCGCCAAGGCCCGGAGCATCCAGAAGGCAAAGGTGACGTCTAGAAAGGAAAGGGAGGGCAAGGCCAAGCTGGAGACGGAGCAGCCGGGGCTGTACCGGCACCCGTCGCCCTTCGCCACGAACCCCTATTGGCAGGAGGAGATCAGCATGGGGCCCAGCCTGCCCAAGAAGTCGGCCAGCAAGAACTCTAGCCAGCGCGGGCTCTCGAGCTCGGGCAGGGACAGCGACGCCCCCAGCCTTTCCGAGTGCACCCGCGTCGGCGACAGTGGGACGACCGCCGGTGACAGCGCCACGGTGATAGCCGATGCCGACGGTCTGTCGGAGGATTGGAACCGGCGCAAGGGCTACCAGCGTGAAGACGAGGAGCTGTGGGGCCAGTGGTCCGGCCACAAGCTCAAGGACGCCTTCTCCAAGGCTAGGGACTCGGCTGGCCGTCTGATCGAGAACAAGCTCGGCCTGGAGAAGGACGTGTCCGACCACGACCGCCGAGACTTCTACTTCTCTCCCAAGAACCCCCCGATCAACGACTACCACCCCCCCGTCGTCAGCAGCAAGGCCCCGCGAAAGGACGCCCACCGCTGGATGCTCCAGCCCCCGCCGCCCGCCAAGATCATGGAGGGCAAGCTGCCCGTCAGCCGAGCCGTCAGCGCCGCCAGCCGAGCCAGCTCGTCCCGGACCGCCGCCACGGCGAGAACCAACGGCACCAGCAACGGCGCCAACGGGCTCAGCTTCAAGAAGGAGAGCGACATGACGGAGCAGGAACTCATCGAGTTCCTCTTCACCACCCGGAGCAACCGGTCTACCAGCTTCACCCGCGCCCGCAGCATGTCCCTCGACGGCGTGGACGAGTCGGCAGAGTTCAGCTACGAGTACGACCACGGCGAGCGGAGAAAGGTGCGCACTGCGTCCCAGAAAAGACGTCGACAACAAGAGCAGCGCGCCGCCACTACGTCGGGAGACTCGGACTCTTCCGACATGGATGGGTACGAAGCCGAAGAGGAGGATGGAAGCCTACGGCCGTTCTCGCCCTCTGCAAGCTCCAGTAAGGGTCTGAGGCCTGGTCCCGGTGCGGCTGCACGCCCGAAGCTAGAGACTATTGCCAGTAGCGGGCGAGGTATCAGGGCCTAGGTCTCAAGGTCTGCTTAGAGATTCTGGTCTCGGGGGGTTTTGTTCTGAGAGAGTGGAGTGTTGGGTGTCGATCTTCTTCAAAGTCATTTCTAGTACTATTCGCACCAGTTGATTTGGTCCGAATTCTCTTCTTCTCTTCTCTTTTGTCCTTTGATTTCCTTCTCTCTCTCTCTCTCTCTCTCTCTCCATTGAAAGCGAACACTGCATGATTTTGGCGCTCTGGGTTGGGAGCAAAAAGCTGGCGTTTTTTTTTTTTTGACCTTGCGTTTCATCCACTCTGGTTTTCCTCTCCCTCTTTTTCTTCTTCTTTTCCTTTCTCTGTTTATTCTTCATTTTTCCTGTTGTATCTTGCTCTGTTGTTTGGGACGGATGCAAGATGACAGTAACTTGACGTTGTACAACCGGTACAAAAGTTTCTTTGTCGTCTTAACATATTAGTGGTATCCCTCCTTTCTGTCCCTCTTGTCTATCATAAACACTCTTCTGTTGTGTCCAAGCATAAAGTACTGGCGGACGTCTTTGGTAGATTTCTTACACATTCTGCATATCGATTCTGGATACTCGACATCCGTGCAAACCGTAAACATGAAGTCTTGTCTTGTCTGATTTAATTTGTGTATGTTCTGGGAACTAGAGATGCATGCCGCCCTGTTCATCATCATCATCGTCATGATTCAAGTTGCGCATACGCTCCTCTAGGGCCTGGCGAAGTTGTTGATCGTCGAGGGAACCTCCTGTCCGGGATGCAGAGGTCGAGGCAGAAGCACCAGCACCAGCACCAGCACCAGCACCTTGCTCATCAAGATGGACTTCTCCGTTCCGGATAGTACCGGTCTGAAATGTCCCGTCCGTCCAGGGCGACGACGTCGTCTGCTGCTGACCATTCGTTGCGGTGGCCTCTGCTGTCGTTGATGTAGCCGCCGCCCTCGCATCGAGCTCGTCTCTGCTCTGGAACTCGTCCCAGCTGACGCCCCTCTCCTCCACCTCGATCCTGACGAGGGCTATGCGCTCTGTCATGCGCTCTATCACCACGTCGTTTTCGCGTATGGCGTCGATGCAATCCTGGTCGGGCTCTCCTGCCCCTTGCCCGGACAGGGTACCGTCTGCGGAGGAGGCCGGCTGCGTACCGTCTGCGAATGGCCGGAGCTGGTCGTTGGAGTATTGCAGGTGAGCTATCGAGTTGCGGATCTCGAGGACTTTGAGGTGGAGCATCTCGACTGAGAGGTCTTTCAGGGCGGCGGAGAAGCGCGCGGGGGATATGGGGCCTGTGTCTGCCGAGGATGACATTGCGGCGGGGTTTTCTGAACGGCCGGAGGGTAGGTTGGATGGTCTTGTATCGGGTTCGGAGGTTAGATGGTGAGGAAGAGAGATAGTTGGGAGAGATGTCGTCGGGAGAGGATGTCGTCGGGAAGGGAGAGATCTGCTGCGTGCGTCGCGGAGATTGGTGGGGGGTTGATTTGTGGTGTGGCTGCACGGCTAGGCAGATTGTAATATACGTAGGTTACTAGCCAGTCATGAATAGTATATCTGATTATATATATATATATATATATATACATACATTCGAAGAGGAAGAGAGATGGCATCAGCACACCAGAAACATTGCCAGAAGGACCGCTATAGTAATCCGTTGCTTGGAATCAATTCATCTTATTCCACTGCTGCGGTACATGTATGGTGGTGTGCTCAAACTTGACCGTTACGTCAGCAGTACATACGTAGTATTAAATACATTCGGCACGTTTGGGACCCACCAGAAAGAAGAAAAAAGAACCATGCCACCACCGTATACATAATCTGTATAATATATATACATAATATATATACATAATATATATATACCCAGCACTCAGCACTCACTGTAACCACCACCACCACCACCACCACCATCAACCAACCAACCGAGAATACCAAGCACAGCTCTGCTCGCACCTCGGGTGCGTTCACCTGCCGACGGCCATGAGCGCCCTATTACTACGCACCAGCGGTCCGGGCTCTCTTCTCCGGGCCGCAGAAACTCCGCGGAATCTACTATGCAGAGCGGCGAGGAGCACGACGACGAGGACGACATGCCCCTGGCCCACGGCGACGACGCTCCGGCGCCACCGACCGCAGACCCGTCACATGTCGCAGTCCTGCCCTCCTCCGAGGCGACCGTGTCCCAGCAGCGCCGGCAGACTTGACCGCCATCAGAAGAGCCCCTGGGTCCTCCAGCGGCGGGCCTTTTTCGGCGGCGGCAACCGCGTGATCCGCGACTACGTCGACCTGCCGCGCGACTACAAGGACAGGACGGGGCTGGCGTTCCGCCGGAAGGAGGATCCGCTGAGCCAGGAAGAGGTCGAGCGCATATTCGGCGGCGACAGCCAGCTGCGCCCGGCCAGCGCCAACTACCTCCTCCGGGTGCTCCACGGGCGGCGGGTGGCGGGCACGCTCGACGACCCGACGCTCGCCGTCAACACGATGCACTACGACGAGGGGGACGTTGCCAGGGCGCTCGCGCACCTCCGCGAGACGGTCAAGGTGGACGAGGTGCTGAATGCGGGGCTGAGGGCAGAAGACGAGCTGGCGCAGCTGGAGGAGGCGGAGGCGGAGGCGGAGATGCAGAAGCAGGAGCAGGAACGGAAGCAGGAGCAGGAGCAGGAGCAGGGGCAGGAGCAGCAGGCCAGGGATGAGGCCGAGGCTGCCGCTGCTGCGGAGGGGCTAGGGGGGAAGATCGAGGTCGAATACAGGGATGACCCGGTGTACGGCCGCAGCCGATTCGACGCGATACGCGCGCGGAACGAGGCACGCGACCTGGCGCGGCTCAAGGCCATGGAGGAGGCGGACAGGAGGCGCGAGGAGGAGGCGCTGCGCAAGGCGGCCGAGCTGGGCGGCACCGGCGTGGTGGTGTACGACCGGAAGGGTCGGGCGGCGCACTCGCTCGTCGAGGTGGGCGAGGGGCAGCGGCCGATCACGAACCCCAAGATCGCCGAGTACCACCGGGCGGCCATGTCGGACGAGGCCGAGCCCGAGGCCATGAGCCTCTGGCGGCGGGTGTGGCCGTCGGCGGCGGCGTGGCTGCTGGGCGTCGGGCTGATGGGCAGCCTGACGGTGGTGTACGAGGAGCCGGCGGACCGGCACCGGCTGTTCCCGCAGGTGTCGGCGGCGACGGCGACGGTGGGGGCGCTGGTGGCGGTCAACGTGGCGGTCTGGGTCCTCTGGAGGGTGCCTCCCCTCTGGAGGGTGCTGAACAGGCACATGATGCTCGTCGTCGGGCGGCCCCGGCCGCTGTCGCTCCTGACGGCCAACTTCTCGCACATCGAGCTCGGCCACCTGGCGGTCAACATGGCGACGCTGGTGGCGGGGGGGATCCACCTGCACGAGGACCTGGGCCGGATGGGCTACCTGACGCTGTTCCTGGCCTGCGGGTCGGCCGGGTTCCTGGGCAGCCTGGCGGTGTACGGGGCGCGCGGCATGCTGCAGGTCTCGTCCATGGGGTCGTCGGCGGCCAGCATCGGCGTCCTGGCCGCCTACTTCTGGGAGCACAGGGACGACCGGTTCCGCTTCCTCGGCCTGCCGCAGGACGGCGTCCACGGCATCGTCTGGTGGGCCCTGCTCGTCGGCTACTACGTCTACGAGGGCCTCTCCGTCTTCGCCCTCCGGAACAGGAGCGACGTGGTCTCGCACTGGGCCGGCCTGATGGCCGGCATGGCCGGTATACAGGTCATGGACTGGGCTGGCGTGGTGAGGAGCAGGGTTGGGAGGCCGGTCGATCGTGATGTCTGCGACGTTGCCGTCATCAAGGGTTGATTGGACAAGGCATCTTCTCTCTCTCTCTCTCTCTCTCTCACACACACACACACACACACACACACACATATATATATATACATATATATATTCTTGGATTGATGGGTTTAGTAACCCTCTATCCAACCAACCCCCAACCCCCAACCCCCAAACCCCCCTCCCCCCTTTTGAAGCACCATGACCAGTATTATACACGGTCAATGGGTGTATGATTACTAGCATCTTGGTCTTTCTTCTCTCTCTCTCTCTCTTCTTCTTTTTCTCTTTCTTTCTTTTTTTTTTTTTTTAAAAAAAAAGAAAAATTGTCTGTTTGCTTGTGTGTATACTATTTGATAGACCATGTATTCAACACCACACCATCTGTATTCGCAGCTTGAAGGGGGGGTACAATATAAATGTCGAGGTAGAGAGGAGTGTGCGTCATGGACAGTAGTCAGCCATGTGGTATGATTTTTTATGATCTCGAGGAGAAGACGAAACTCTCTAAACTGTTGAAACTTTTATCATCATTATCTTCTCTTGAATTGGTCATATATAATCTGTGGTGCTCTGTCTAGACCAATGTGAAATCATAGAGAGGCCTGAGGCTCAGATACCGGGACCGGAATAACCCACTATACGGCGTTTGGCGGTGTTTGCGCAGATACCACTAATAAATACATGTACATGCTGTTCCGACATCTGTAACCTGTAATCTGCACAGATTACAGGTTACGGTCTGGTAGACTGTAGCGAAGGGGCCTGCCTATTGGACCGACGGCGACCATGGTTGACGTATCTGCTGATAAAGCCGTTTCCCGGCAACCGGCGAGGGTGAATTCTCCACAAGGGTCCCCCCCCCCCCCCCCCCGGTCCGCTCCAAGGTAATCTGACCAGATGGGCATTGAGCAAGAGAGGGTGGGACCGTGGCCAGTAAGTAATATTGCTGTTACCTGTGGGCTGTACATGTATCACTGCATGTATTGTCAATATCAGCAAGTCGTAAACAAACTCCCCCCTGCCTCGGCCTGCCGTCATGTTTCCTCTCGCTGGATCAAAAATATGGGGCAGAGAATTCTGGCACCTGCCGGGTCCTCGATTCGTCAGACGCTAACAGGGAGACGCTCACTACAGGGCCAGACTCTGTTAGTGAATTCCCGGGGAGGTACTTTCTCTGCGCATGACCCTGCAGGTCCGAACATGATTAGACTGGACCGGTGACTGAGTGATGCGCATGCCGTGCACATTCTGATCGTGCTGAATACCTATGCTTGTCCATACTCGTGTGTAAAGAGAGAGAGAGAGAGAGAGAGAGAGAGAGAGAATGGGGAGGGGGAGAATGTGAAGAGAAGGATGAAATGATTCAAAAAGAAAAAAAAAAAACCAACCTGCCACTTCCATCTTGATCTCCTGTTGACCACCCACTTATATGTAGATATATCTGTACATATAACTGTAGATATTTCTGTACGTATAACTGTAGATGTATCTGCAGATATATAATTATACCAGTACAGATACTCTCAGATATAGTACCATGGCTGGTACTCCGTGCTCGTAGTAGTATCAATCATCGTCCCCCTCCCCAGGGCAGTACGGAGTACATGTATAGAGATTATTCAACTGGTATTGCCATACTCTCCCTGGGTAACGGGATGGATGAATAGTAGGTACATGTAAACCGCATGATGATCTAATTGAGCCATTATTACCACTCTGCACTCACTCTCAATTCCCACCCGCACCCTCACTCCCACTCCCACTCTAATCCTCTTCCGCTCCTTTCATCAGAGTGGGTATGACGCCCCAGTCTTCTTCTCCCTCTCCGTCTTCTTCGTCTTCTCCGTCTTCCCCGTCTTCTTCGTCTCATCCGCTCTTCCCCTCCCCCCTCTTCCTCTGCGCACTTGTGCGTGTGTGTGTGCGTGCGTGTGTGTGCAGGTCAGCATACCCTCTTTCTTCTCCCTCTTCTCCTTCTCTTTTCCTTTGCTGCAATCTCCCTTGGGACGCGTCGAAACCAGAACAGCCGATACGGTTCGGTCTCTGGCAGACCAACTAACTCTCTTCCTCTCCATGTGATGGATACATGTGCAGAGTGAGGCACCACGCTACTTCGTACTCGTACTATCCCATGACTACCATTACTCTCTCTCTGTATTGATACTTTTATTGATTTAATCGTCGGCAAGAGCACTCAAAACTCGCACCCGTATCCCCCCTACTTCTCACCGTCCTCACCCACACTTCTCCCCCCTCTCCTCCTATTCTCTGATATATGTAATCTGTACTCTCTCTTCCTCCTCTCCTTCTCCAATCAACTCCGCTCTTCAACACTTCTACACCTGGCCCTTTCCGACCTCTCCAACCGCACACACACACACACACACACGCCCGACACACTCCCTTGACCGAACACGCAATAACAAGGATTGACAGCCCTGAGCCGTGTTATGGACCTCTGATGATACCGCCATCTCATCTCCATCCTCGACTGCAATTCTGAGCCGCACGACGTCACGTTTTTCATTCCGACCGAACGCCATCTTCCCAGGCTCGACAATCAGGATTCTCTCCTCCTATCCTCCTCCCCCCCCTCTTTCTCTCAGTACCGCGAAAAAAAGAATTCGAAAAAATCGCCATACTCTTCATACGAGTACAACTACACGCACAGCCACGATGGAATCGCCAACGAGAGAGGCGGATACGTCCAGCTTACTCTCCTCGCCGCCCTCGTCGCCCATGTCGGCCCTGTCCGACATGTCGGGTACGCCTTCGCTGCCCGGTCTACCGATCGCCTCGTCTTCCCTGGCCGACCTCTCCCACCGCTATCCCTCTCCCACATGCTCGGCCTCGACATCGGGCACGCAGACGCCCTCGAAGAAGACGGCCAGGCCAACCAAACCAACCACAACCGCCGCCGCCGCCACCGCCGCCGCCGCCGCCAAGCCCGGCAGCAGCAAGGAGCCCAAGCCGTCGCGGCCGAGGGCTCCCCCGGACCCGACAGAAAAGCCCGCACGGCCAGCCAAGAGGCCCAAGCTCACCGCCGCCACCTTGTGGCCCAAGGAGCGCACGACCGAGCACCTGGACCTGACCAAGCCCGAGGCGGAGTGGACCGAGCACGACGCGCTGCAGCTCGAGAGGCTGTCGCAGTCCCTGCGCAGGAAGAAGAAGATCGTCGTCGTGGCCGGCGCGGGCATCTCCGTGTCGGCCGGCATCCCCGACTTCCGGTCGGCCACCGGCCTGTTCGCCCCGGCCGGCAGCCAGCAGACCAAGCTCAAGGCGTCGGGCAGGCACCTGTTCGACGCCTCGGTCTACAAGCACGACGAGTCGACGCACTCCTTCCACACCATGGTGCGCGAGATGGCCGACATGGCGTCGCGCGCCAAGCCCACGCCCTTCCACCACCTGCTGGCGTCGCTGGCCCGCGAGGGCCGCCTGATGCGGCTGTACTCGCAGAACATCGACTGCATCGACACGTCCATGGAGCCCCTGGCCACGCGCGTGCCGCTCAACGCCAAGGGTCCCTGGCCCACCACCATCCAGCTCCACGGCGGGCTGGACAAGATGGTCTGCACCAAGTGCGCCCAGCTGCAGCCCCTCGACGGCGCCCTGTTCGACGGGCCCGAGCCGCCCCTCTGCGGCGCCTGCAAGGACCAGGACGAGGTGCGCACCGCCTTTGCCGGAAAGCGCAGCCACGGCATCGGCCGCCTGAGGCCCCGCTTCGTCCTCTACAACGAGTTCAACCCGGACGGGGAGGCCATCGGCAACGTGTCCAGCGCCGACCTCAAGGCCCGTCCCGACGCCGTCATCGTCGTCGGCACCAGCCTCAAGGTCCCCGGCACCCGCCGCCTGGTCAAGGAGCTGTGCCAGGTCACCCGCCACCGCCGCGGGGGCTTCACCGCCTTCATCAACACCGACTCGGAGCCCAAGGGCGCCGAGTTCAAGGACTGCTGGGACATGGTCGTCCGCGCCCCCTGCGACATGGTCGCCCGCGAGGTCGGCTGCGCATCCTGGTCCTGCAACATCGGCACCGACTACCTCCTCTCGGCCGAGGACTCCCTCCAGAGCCAGATCCGCTGCCGCGCCACCAAGATCGAGGTCGAGATCCCCTGCAAGTCGCCGTCCCCGACGCCCGCACCCGCCACCGCTGCCGCCACCGTCACCACGCCCACCACCAACCGCGTCAGGCGGGTCGATGGTATGCCCACGCCTCGTCCCAGCCCCAAGCCGGGCGCGTCCAAGGATCCTGCCGCCGCCGCCGCCGCCGCCGCCGCTGCCGCCGGGAGGCCGAAGCAGACACGGCTATCGTTCGCCGTCGGCAAAGAGGACACGGCGACGAAGACCGATGCCGACCGGAAGCAGCAGCAGAAGCACCAGCAGAAGCACCAGCAGCCCGGAAAGAAGACGGCCGCCGTGCGCGCCAAGGGCCGCAAGCCCCTCCGTACCTCGCAGCCCAAGAACACCGTTGCCCAGGCCTTCAGGGCCGTCAAGGGCGGAGCGGAGCCGGGGTCGGTCAAGGTGGCTGGCAAGTTGGCTGCCAAGCCCGAGCATGACTCGGCTGATGATTCCGCCGTCACCGTCAAGAGCGAGGAGAGACCATCGACGCCTACTACTACTTCTGCATACCATCCCGCCTCCCAGGACACGATCTCCCCCAAGTCCATACCTAAGAGTATGGCTGACCTGATAGATGTAGATGTACAATAGTGGCTGAGGTTGGAGGGGGGAAGGACCATGACTACTATCACTCTAATCTTTCTTCTTTTCCCTCTCTGCTATTTCAAAACACCAGAGAGATGCATAATTGAGGAGTTGGGAGGGGAAATCTATCACTACGGCATGTTGAGAATACCAAAGCATATATATTATATATATATATATTGGGGTTGGGTGGTAAAAAAAAAACTGGATTTCTTTCCACGGCAACAGGAACGTTTTTTTTGTTTTTTGTTTTTTTTTCCCTCTCGTTCTTGTTCGATAAGGCGTTATACATATATAAATATTCATTTTCATATAATCCTGATGGGTTCTGCGTCGTCTCAGGAATAGATTTTTTTTCTTCTCGTTGTCTCTTCACCATGGTGATGTTTTGTATGAACCCCCCAGTGCGACGTAAGATTGCGACAGGGCATATTGTCTAACACTTTTTTTTTCCCGGAGAGTTAAATCTCTCGGAGAGCGTTGTCATCTCCACGGTGAATACCTCGTCCTGGGCCGAGAGGAGGGTTAGAAAAGTGAGACAGAGCAGACGGAGAGGGCGGTGGCCAGAGAGCCAAAGACTAGGGGAGAAGACAAGCTTATTGCTGAGACAGCATTGGGTGAATCAGAATAGTAGGGAGAGGTTGGCGGAGGAGGGGGATGCCATGCCAATACTATGGCCGACGATCAAGGGGCAGAACGCCTCTAGATGGAATTGATATGGGATGTCGGACATGGCGGAAGATGGGTGTCGACGGGACCTCTGATGAGTATATAAGGGGACTGATGGATCTCTCTCTCTGCTAGGAATCATCAGCATCATCATCATCATCTTCTTCTTCTTCTTCTTCTTCTTCCTCTTCTTCTTCAACAGCAGCAGCAGCAGCACTCCCCTCAGCTCTTCAACAACACCTCGACACATTGGCACCACACTTCCGCACCACCTCCAACACTCTCAACCAACTCAACACCAGTCTTCCACCCTTCCAGTCCCTGCCAACCATCATGCTCATCCTAAACGCCGTCCTCTTCACCGCCGCCGTACAGGCCGCCGCCATCATCCGACCCATCGACACGGACCGCTTCACTGCCACGGAGCTGGTCCACAGCTTGGACGTCATCGCCAACGCCACCCACTCTACTGCTGACCTTACCTCTGGATTCACGGCCGACAGGAACTCGGAGGAATACAACGTGAGTCAAGTTGACCTCGAAGGAAGAGACCCGGACATTCTCGTTACTGACAAAGAAAGCAGCACCTCAACACCGAATTCGACGAGATCATCCAGGCCAGCGAGCTGGCCATCGGCGTCCTGCAGCACGACAGCCCGGCCGAGGGCAAGAAGGTGACGTACGAGGGGTACACGGAGCAGGAGCGCGGGCCCATCTGCAGGTCGGGAGAGTACCTCCTCGAGACGGGCATGGAGCTGGCCAGGGGACTGAACCGCTCCTTCGACTCCAAGCTCATGGCTAGGCTGCGCCGCGCCGTCTTCAGCGTCGACGGTCTGGCCACCGTCACGGGGAACTCTGCCTCCTGCGCGGGCAACTACACCCAGAAGCTGGGGGATCTGCACACCATGATCGTCGTTAACGAGTCTGCCGAGGACTTTCAGACTCAGAATGGGACAGCTGCTCAGTAGAGGGTGAGTGAGTGAGTGAGTGTGTGTGTGTCTTGATAGTACAAGATAGGAGCTACGGAAAAAGAAAAGGGGGTGGAGGAATGGGATGTCCTAACAGCAGGGTTCTTTTTTTTCTCTCTTTTTTTCTCATCTCTTTTCGAAATATAGTATAGTAGCGATAGTTTTTTTTTATTTAAAAAATAATAATTTTGTCTTATTTAGATAATAACGTGAAAGAGCAATTGATTCTACTTTGAAGTCGATGCTTCATCATAACTATACTTCTGCTGCAAGGCCTCTCTCTCTCTATCCAGATCAACCTCTCGGGTTAATGTTGGGCGAATACGACTGCGGGGATCCCCCCCCAGGAATCACATACCCGCCTCTCACCATCTTGGCAACCTGCACATGACTGGACCGGATATTGATCGAAGAAGCTGAGGGAATATATGACCATATATCACGTATTCTTACCAGAAACTATTCGAAGGCCCGCGATGGAGGCGGGGGGGGTGAGGATACCTGTGTATAAAATGGCAGGGTTGTCGTCATCCCAGGACAGGTCGCGAAAGAGACTTTGACTTATGCGCTTGACCTAGCTGGTCCTAGCAACGAACGAATGCATTCGGCAACAAACAAAAAGACCATGACGATGGCAGAAATCCGACTTGTAGACGTCCTGATGACGGCCCTGACCCTCCTCGTCACGGCAGCCCAGAGCGCTTGGATCGTCCCTGGCGCACGGTGGTACGACACGGACGGCAACCTGTTCAACGCGCATGCGGGTGGACTCTGCGTGGACCGCGATACCGGCAGGTTCTACTGGTTCGGGGAGTATAAGACGGAGGGGCAGGAGGAAGGAGGGGGCGTCTCCGTCTACAGCTCCGACGATCTGGCTACGTGGACGTCTCACGGGTTGGCGCTGGGTACATTCACCTCATCCAATCGACAGAGGGTGAACGGAGACGGGAGGGTTTCCTGGCTGACGACTCGAGGACGTGTGTGACAGAGCCCATCGAGGGACACGAGTACATCTCCCCGGAGAACATAATCCAGCGACCGAAAGTCGAGTATAGCCAAGAGAATGGAAAGTATCATGTATGTTCAAGATGCCTTGCCTTTCGCTCTCTCCCCCCTTTCCCTTTCTTGAATCGAACTAGGGGAAGAGAAGAGAAGAGAATGAAATCATGCAGTATCAGATATCAAGACTTACAGGTCGTGACGCATATAAAAAAAAGATGTGGTGGCACGCCGATGACGCCAACTACTCGCTCCTGCTACAGGGTCACGCAACATCAGACGACATTGCCGGCCCGTACAGATTCGACAAGGCCGTGGCCCCCATGGGGAACTGGTCGCAGGATTTCGGCATGTTTACCGACCGGACCGACGGCAGGACCTACGCGCTCTACTCGAACGGTGACTCGGCCGAGGGGCGGGACGTGTACCTCTCCCGCTTCGACGGAGCGCTCAACGGTCTCGAGGATGTGGTGCACCGGTGGGACAAGTTTGATCTCGAGGCGCCTACCATCATCCAGACGGATACGAGCTACTACGCTCTCATGAGCCACAAGACTGGCTATAGACCGAATAGTCAGTATCCTCAACCCATTGCTTTGTTTTTTTTTCTTTTTCAAAAAGGAGAGGAGAGAGAGAGAGGGGGAGGGAGTAAAAAGAAGAGAAAGAAATAATAAAAGGTTGACATGTACAAAAAAAAAAAAAGACGTCGTTGCCTTTCGGGCTGACAGTCTCGAGGGACCGTGGTCACAGCCGTGGATGATCTCGGACCCTTACACGCGCACGTGGAGCAGTCAGTCTGGCTACACGTTCCGCATCGACGGCAGCCAGGCAACGACGTACCTCTATATGGGGGACCAGTGGGACAGCAATTCGCTCTGGGAGAGCCGTAACATCTGGCTCCCCCTCTCGATCGACGACGGCGGGCGCACCCTCTCCCTCCCCTGGCACGACGTGTACGACCTCGACGTCCGGACCGGGGTCTGGCGGCCCGTGACGGAGGGGGTGGCGACGTACCGCCCGGCCCGCACTACGGGGTCCGCGTACTTCCAGGAGGCCAACTTCGCTACCGGAGGGGAGCTGGCGACCGGCATACGCGGCAACCGGAGCAGCGTCGTCTTCGAGGGCGTGCAGGGTCACGGCGGCGGCGGCGGCGGCCAGTGGGTGTCGTTCTATCACCAGAACACCGACGACATGGGCTACGGCGATCAGCCCGGCGGGTCGCCCGACCGTATAGGCGGGGCGTGGCAGCTCCGTCGGATAAGCGGCGTCGTCGTGAACGATGACGAGGACAACGTCTACTCCCTCTACCAGCGGGATACGCACAAGGGCGTCATCGTGTCCTCGCCGCTCAAGCTGCCCCTCCGCAAGGGGGCCAACAAGATCACCGTCGGCGGACTGAGCAACGGCTTCGACGATAGGGGTGCCGATATCGACAGGATCGTCGTCTACCCTCCCGAGGAGGAAAGTCTTGCCAGCTGATTCATCATCGTTATTCCTATATATTATACTATAAACTGCCCATGGCTTACCAGAAATGGTATAATCCAACTTGATGTCGTATTATGCAATACCAATAAAAAGGTGACGATAAGAGAATAAGTAAAAAGAAGAAAAAAAAAGTTCCAAAGCAATACGGGTATCTCAAAAATTGGGGGGGAAACTAAAAACTGAAAAAAAAAAATTCAACACAAAAAGTCCTCCCTCCGTTCTAAGTAGGTTTAACGTGAACCTCGATGGTATCCATGTCGTCGATGCCAGCCTCGTCCATGGTTGTGTGCTCGTCGAGCATGTCGCCGTCGAACCACAGACTGACGGCCTTGTCTGGTCCGAGACCCCTGGCGGCCCTGAATGCCGTGACGAGGGTTTCCGCCGTCGTCTCCGGCCGCACCGTGAATCCCAGGTCGTCGAGCTCCTTCGCCTTGAGGACGACCTTGATCTTGGTCTCCTGCGGCGGCGGCGATGCCCGCGTCGCGTCGTAGCCGCCACCACCACCTGCCGCCGCCGTGCCTTCCTCGTCGTCGTCGTCGTCGTCGTCGTCGTACCCGTCCTGCTCTTCCCTCCGGAGCTGCCTCTCCTTCTCGTCCTCCCACCGCTGGAACATGTCGGCCGTCCAGACCTCCATGTGCACCTGAGACGGGTGCGCGCCCAGACCCGAGGCTGGCCCCGCCGATCGGCCGCTGCCGTGATGGCTGTCGGTGGTGACGACGATGCCGTCGCCCAGCGGTCGGACGCCCAGGCTGTACAGCGTCGAGTAGTTGTACACCTTGCCGCGGCGCCACGTGAGGATCAGGTCCGACGGGTTGGTCACGCCGATGTCCGCCTGCTGACGCCTCTGGGCCTCGACCCAGGCGTTGCGCACCTGCAGGAGTGGACTGTCGAGGAACACCTTTATCAGGCAGTTCTTCGTCCCCGGGATGGCGCTCTGAACGAGCAAGTCGACCTTTGTCGTGCCGCCGCCGCCGCGACCCGCGCGCCGTGAAGACAGTACGCCGCTGTCGTCGGTTGCCGATGTGCGCGACTCCAACTTCCGCTTTTCCATCTCGGCTTTGCGGATGTACTCTGCGAACTCGTCCTCTTCGTCGTCATCGCCGGCGGTCGGTTGGGTGTCCTCGGCTTCTCGGAGACTATCAGTGCTGTTCTTTGGCGGAGGCGGCGCAGCAGTAGCGAAGGGGTCTTCGTCGTCATCCGAGTCTAGCGAAATGATGGGTGCCGCCGCCGCCGCCGCCGCCGCTGCTGCTGCTGCTTTACGCGTCGAGAATCTGGTACGTGTCGAGGGCGACCCCATCGTTTGATTGGCCGGTGTTGTGCGCCTTCGTTTCGACGAAGATGAGAGGCAGTCGGTCTGAGTGCGCTTCGACGAGGGCGGTGTTACGATTTCGCTGGAGAAGGGAGCGTGAGTATCGATAGTAATTACCATCGAGTCGAGGGGAACCGGGGGGAGGGGGGAGAGACAACTAACATGGCGCTATGATCCTCCTTGGCCGTCGCGTATTCCTCGTCGTCATTGTCGTTCGGTTGAGCCGATGGCGGCACTCCAGGATCTCGATCTTCGGATTTGCCATCTCGCTTCCCCTCGGCAGCGGGTGACTCGGTCTGCTCGTCGTCGGACAGCGACCTCCTTGTGGCGGCAGCCGCGGCCGCGGCTTCTGACGATCGTCGGCGTTCCTCGGACTGCTTCTGTCTGCGCTTCCTGGCAGCTTCCCTCTCACGATCGGCGGCCAGGATGCGCTCCATCTCCTTGCGGCGGTTGAACAGATTGAGGTCGTCATTGCTGCTGTCCTTTGACGTGGCTGTCGAATCCGGGGAAGCAGCAGCTCTGCGCAGAGCCGTGGGCTTGAATGGGAGCTTCTTCTTCTTGAGAGCCGAGTCGGCCATGGTGTGTGCGCGTGCGTGTGTGTGCGTATGCTTATTACAGCGTTGTTTTGTCCAGAAATGAAATGGAAAATTTGTAGTCGTAGCAAGAGCATGAAACAGCCATGAAGAGAGAGTGAGGAAGTGTTGGAGTGATGCTTTTGTTGTTGTAGCCATTCAGGTGAGTTTGGAATCCCCACGCTCACGCGATTGGTACCTGGTTCATACTTTGTTTCCCCCTCCCCCCACTACAAAGCTCTCGAGAAGATTCACTCTTGCCTCAAAACACACACACACACACACACATCACCATTCGCCTCTCATCCGCGCACGCCAGAGGAGAAAAGAAGACAGAGGAATCTTGATCGGTTCACGCACGCACTCAGGTTCAAATCAGCAGACAGAATGGAGAACGGCAACGCCGGCCAGACCGAGGGCAAAGACCCTTCCAGCTTCCTCAGCGGCATCATCGGCAACTCCGTCACCGTCAAGCTCAACTCGGGCGTCGTCTACAAGGGTAAGGAGAGAGAGAGAGGAGGGTGGTAAGAGGGGGAGAGGCGGCATACTGACAGAGGGTCGATGGATTATAGGTGAACTTCAGTCGGTGGATGGATACATGAACATTGCTCTCGAGAAGACGCAGGAGTTTGTCAACGGGTCCAAGAGGAGGGAGTACGGCGACACGTTTGTGCGCGGGAACAATGGTGAGAGAGTCCTTGGCGTCTTGGAATTGATTGCAAGCTAACAGATTGACTAATAAAAAAAAGTCATGTACATTTCGGCGGATGCATAGATGATTTCTGATGGCAGAGAATGATGATGATTACAAAGAAGAAGAACCGTCTCTCTCTCTCTCTCTTTCCATTCCGGGTTTTTTTATTTTTTTTATTTATGCTAGGATTCTCGTCAAATTCTCTTCCTCTTATTTTCTCTCCTTCCTGTGCACATGTTGGCATCTACAATCTCGTCGTCCAGGCCAAGACCGTCTTCCCGTGGATGGCGACTTCGCCCTTGTCATTCCGCTGTCCATCCCCAGCCTTGGCCAGGTCATCAAACTTCTCCTTGAAGTCGTCGGCATCTGCACCCCGCAGCAGGGCGACGTGGCTCAGCGTCTGCACGCGCTCCCACAGGGCCTGGTGGCTGAGCCAGATGGTCCACTCGATGCCGTCCTCGCCGATGGGCGTGGAGAAGAGCCCGGTCTGGGTGTCGAAGACGTCCTTCCACTTGTAATCGCGGAAGCGGGGCTGGCCGTCCCTGGAGATGCTGAGGATGAGCTCGTTGAGCTTCTGCTCATAGTTCGAGGCTGCCGTCCACGCGGGGGGTTTGTTGTCTGCCTCCGGGTCAGCACCGCGTACATCCGTCTCGCCACTCCTCTTTATCGGTATAGTGGCCGTGTCCCGAGAGCGGGCGCGGCGAGAAGGGACCCCGGCAGGGCCCCCGGGACGTAACATCACAACATACAGTCTTCAATGTTCCAGATCATGGCCAGTCTCCCGTCTGGCTTGAGGATGCGGCGAATCTCGGCAAGGGCTTCTTCCTTGGCAAACCTATCTCATACGTTAAGCCTATCAATGGCCATTACTTCTCGAGTAGAGGGCGGCTTTTTTTTAATAAAAAAAATTTTTACCAATGGAATGCCTATTTTGGATTTCAGTATCATGTCAAGTCTTTTTTTTATGTATATGTCATTCTTAAGCCGAAGAGGAGGGGAGGGGGGAGGAGAGGGGGGAGGAGAGGGGGGAGGAGTAGAGGAGTAATACCTGAGCAACGACGACGGCGTCGACGGACCCGTCAGCGACGCCGGGGATGCTGTCGGCGGTGCCGGCCTGGATCTCGACGCGCGGCAGCTTCTTGGCCTCGAGGGTGGCCCTCATCTCGGCGTGGGGCTCGACGGCGACTACGTCGAACTCCTCTGGCCTGGCGGCCAGGAGCTCCGTCATCTTGCCGGTCCCGGCGGCCAGGTCGACGACGCGGGCGCCGCGGCTGCCGTCGACGCCGACGTTGGTGAGGAGCTGGTCGACGGCCTGGGGAGGGTAGGACGGACGGTGGGCATCGTAGGCGGTTGCGTTGTGGAAGCCGACAGTTGCGGAGTCGTGGATGGCGGCGGTGGCGGCGGCGGCGGCGGCGGCAGACATGGTGCTGTAGCTTGGATTCGGACTGTTGCTGAAGAGACTGCGACCGCTGTTGCGAAGACGATGTGCTGTTGGTGGCGGAGAAGAGGATGAGAGTGGTGATGGTGATGGTGATTTCACGAGAAGGCTGCTATGCTGCTGGCGACGAAGAAGTCGTGATCTCGTCGATGACGAAATCAGCCGTGAACTCATAGCGCTCGGGCAGAGCGCGGACGGATGACGGCGCTGTACGGGTGCTGCGATGCTGGACGTGTCGACTCACTGAAACTACGGGGCGGAATTGAAAGCATCATGGTCAATGGTCAGGGCCACACGGTAATAGCACAACTGTAGCAGCAGCACTGCTACTCCACGGTATCACTACTCCGTGGGTATTGCTACTCCACGGTATTACCACTCCACGGTATTACCACTCCACGGTATCACCACTCCACGGTATTGCCACTACTCCGCACTGCTCGTCGTACTTACGGTAGTGGTGGTGGTGATATATTATTACTGGGCAGCATTGTATGCAGCAGTGGCCATCCTCAAATCCCCTCCCCGCGCGCGGTCGCCGAGTCGCGACCTCGGACTGCGAGGTACGGAGTGCAGGTGATGAATGGTAGCATGCATCTTTCCCAAGTGCCTGCCGCCTCTCCAGGCGCAGGGGAGATGATATGGCGTGCTCTGCCAGCGCGCATGTTACCGACCGGGGCGACGATGAGGATCCTCTGTTGGCGATGGCCCTCTGATCACGTGCAGGTAGGAGGTCATCGTGCTGGTAGTAATACTCGTCGTACCCGCTCACTCAGCACACGCACCACCGACTGCTCTGGCATCACGCACGTACGCAGGTTGGGCGGCGCAGGATGCAAGATATCAGCTAGGACAGTGCCGTAGGACGGTGCTGAGCGGTAGACCCTAGCCGTGGTAGCATGCGAAAAACGTCATGAACCTGTGGGCGCGTCGGGAAGAGGAGTGAAGTCACTGATTCAGGCAAGCGGGAAGGTGCCAGCTGCCAAGAAAGTCGGGCGTGGTCAGCGCCGAAGCCAATTCCGGACAGCTTCACTTGTAGTGTGGCTGCAGTGCCAGTGCTCAGCGATGATGCATCGCTACGTGTACGAGCGTCGAGTATCACATCAACGCCGGTGCTGTCCGTTACTCCGTAGTGATTGGACTGAGACCGCACATAGAACAGTGCCAGTCCACTACGTCTCTCACCCGTACTCCTTTTTTTTCTCTCTCTTCTTCTTCTGCATGACCATGAATGTACCATCATTGCTCGAGACTGCTCGTAGTGATGATGACAGCTTAGCTACTACCTGGTGAGGGTGGAAGTGGGGGGGG